GAGCTAAGAGGTTTGTTATAACAGCATTTTTGTAAAATTAATATATCTTGAAATTCAAAGATTATGTTTCTACGAAATAAAGATGGATACTTGCTGTAACTACTCTTCTATCAAATTAAATGAAAATATACCCACAAGATACTCATTGGTAGGAATCCATAGAAATGTAAATAAAATTTGTTTTATAAATAAAATCTCTCTAAAATATCTAATAATTTGTTGTACATATGTTTATTGATCATTTTTGATCGCCAAATAGCATGTTTTCACTTCTCCCAAAAATTTTATCAGTTTTTCATTTTGTTAATGCAAATAAAGTGTTTTTCGAATTATTCTAATCACACGCTCTTCAAAAACTAAATTATTATTTTTGGCACTTTTTGCCCCGTATCTTCAAAAAGGCTGTACCTATCTCTACTAAAAACTAATCAGCACGTCTCCTCATTAATAGAAATCGAATGTTTTCCGAAACATTCACGGTTGACTCGTGTTTTCGAAATCGTCGATGAAAAATGGTATCCCGAAACACACACCCAAACATCCTGTTTTTCTAAGGTATGCCAAAATATTCAGAAACCTTTGAAACGCAAAAGATATATAAAAATTTTCATTTTATATTTTTGGCGATTACTAAAAGCAAACCTACGGGAAGTTAATAATTCTTTTGATAATTTATTCTCTACTTATTTTCAATAAAATTGACTTATTTTTAAGCAATTATTTTCATACATCAATCAACGCAAATTATGATTAATACAAATAGAATATATATTGTCTCCTGTACGCAATTTACGTGTGATCACATCTTACATACTAACTATTTATTCTAGTCAACCTTCTTCACTTGAATGTATATAGTTTTTGTATGGTACAAGTAGCTTCAAGGTTTTGTTTCAACTAACCCCGGGTGTAATTTTTTTCCATTAATCAAAACAACTATTTATTCATTTTAGCAGTCACAAGAATTGATACACATTATCAAAGATTGATAAATTTGAAACGAGATAAGATATATAAAATTGCAAATTCAAAGTTGACAATAATAACGCAAACCGAAATTGTATGATAGATCAATTTTATATTGCATGTCAAAAATGACGAACCTGCACAGTTTTGTTTATTGCGTCGCCCTGCGGCACAGTAGTTATAACAATATTATACAGGACGATTTAAAACAATAAGCTTCAAGATCTGGCTACTTTTAAAAGCGTAACGTTAAAAAATTGTTTATTTTGAAAATAAAGATTTTGTTTTTCATTAAAAATTTATTAATGCAATTTTAATCGATATTTTTTCAAATTATTGAATTTTAATAATATTGAACTATAATATTTTAAGAAGTTAGCTTAGAGTTGAAATTTAGGCTTATAAACTAAACTTAAACTAGTAGTGAATTGTGAATATTAAATGTGTTCAAATCGATTATTATAAATATTTATTTTTATTATATAGTATATAGTAAATATAGTAACACTGTTTTTATTATATAGACAAAATATAAGAGGTTATGAATTGGGCAACGACGTTTATATATGTTTAGAGAGAAGTAAACAAAAAAAAATTAATCAATCGGATTCAAAATGAAGGACATTGTCTAATATTTATAAGAATTATATATAAACTGAATTGCAAAGTTAAAAATATTTATTTGAAGTTTATAAGTGAGTTTTAAAACTTTAGCTAGAGTTAAAATTAAAATCCGAATTAACTGGATGAAAAGTTTTGCATTTATTATTAAAAAGAAATGGCTCGGTTAATCGACTCGAAAAACGCAACGCAAAAGTGAACAAAACCCTACTATTTATAAGAAAATGTATATACATTTTAATTTCTGATTAAAGGTGATAAATGTTATATAGATAAAATAATTTACAATATCGATGTCTAGTGAATGCACTCTTTGTTGGTAACAAATATTGCAATAGAAAATGCGTTCTGCATATAAAACTATTTAGTCTATCTACAGTCGGTCAAGTAAGAGCGTGGCCGACTTTAACGACAGTTAATGAAAGATTTCGGTCTAGTTCTTTTGTGCGCCGATATAGTGAAGCTTTGTCTTTGATGCATTGTCAACAAAGGTTTAGTTGCCGTTGATCTTTTGAGAAAAAATCACGCTAAACGCCATGAGTGCTAAGTTACGCGTCGCGCTACGAGGCTGCGCCCTTTTGCATCCATCCAAAAGGTCCCCAATTGTCGCAATAAGCTGCCGCTAAGCATATGAGAAAGTTGAAGGCATTTGTACAGAATTCGATACACCTATATGAAGTTGCTAGAAATGTCGATGATTTATTAGAACGTGGTTCAAATAAAAAAGAAGAAAAAAGAACAGTGAATGTGTTTTTGCGGAATCCTGCTTTAACACTGCAGCAAGGACGAGCAAAATTAATGACAAAATGTTTATAAATATCTACTAAAATATCTACAAAACTATCTGAACCTTTCCTAGTATTCATGATCTGAAATGGCTCAACACAACGGGGAAGCCTCTGACGACTGAAAAACATGTGCTTCTTTTCCGCTTGGGCACATGAAAATATTGATAGAGATTTTGAAAATGTCATTTTTACTGATAAAAGTTCTATATGAGCACGTACTGCCCTCATCGATCCGTTAAACTAAAATACGAGCCGTCAGACTAGAATAATACGTTAAATTAGTAAAAAGCAGGCGTCGGAGATGCCAGCCAATTGTCGACTCCGGTGGTGACTGGACTGGTTACTTTTAAGTTAAATTCAACATACTTTTTCATATAACTCTATAAAAGCTTACATATGGGTGAGGTAAAA